CGGATGAGGGAGTTAGAGCCAAAATACCCAAGACAACGCAAACTACCTCGGAGGTGCGCGACAGTGTACGCTGACGCGCATAGGCGTGATAGTGGAAGGTGACGTGCAAGTAAACAGAGTGTCTTGCCTATGGAAAGTTGTAGAGCTCTTCGCTATCTTTCCAATGCATCTTGGATCACCTCATTCCGATATCGGACGAGAGAGTTAGAGCCAAAATACTCGAGACAACGCAAACTACCTCGGAGGTGCACGACAGTGTACATTGACGCGCATAGGCGCGATAGTGAAAGATGATGCGCAAGTAAAGAGAGTGTCTCTCCTATGGAAAGTTATAGAGCTTTTCGTTAGCTTTCCAACACATCTTGGATCACCTTATTCCGATATCGGACGAGGGAGTTAGAGCCAAAATACCCAAGATAACGCAAACTATCTCGGAGGTGCGCGGCAGTGTACACTGATGCGCATAGGCGCAGCAATAGAAGGTGACCCGCAAGCAAAGAGAGAGTCTCACCTATGGGAAGTTTTATAGTTCTTCGCTATCTTTCCAACGCATCTTGGATCACCTCATTCCGATATCGGACGAGGGAGTTAGAGCCAAAATACCAGAGACAACGCAAACTGTCTCGAAGGTGCGCGGTAGTGATGACTGCCGCGACAATACACGATAGTTTAAGACATGATACAATCCAAATCTGAAGAAGCTCAAAAAATAAAAGTTATAGATCTCTTCGTCAGATTTCCAACGCATCTTGGATCACCTAATTCCGAAATCGGAGAAAAAAGTTAGAGCCAAAATACCCGAGACAACATAAACTGTCTCGAAGGTGCGCGACAGTGGTAACTACCACGGCAATGGGCGACAGTTACGACTGTCGCGCACATTGAGAAGCTAAAAACGTTATTTTTAACAGTTTTCTTGAGTTTCATACGGCCCACATGGCTTATTAACTGCTGGAAATCACTTATGAACATGGGAGAGCAATTACAAGCATAAATCACGCCCATAACCGCTGAAATAATGGTAATTAAAGATGGTGAGAGCGGTTATGAAAGGGAAAAAACTGCCTCCTTTGACCGCGTCAGTGTCCACTGCCGCGCTAAAGGAAAATTTTAACATCAGTTATTTTGCATTATTTCTAACAGCTATGACTTCCAGAGGCTATAAATATCTTCCTATACACGGGAGCCAGAGATCCAGAGCAGATTAGTGCAGATAAGCTTGGACATTTGGTGAACTTGAGCAAAGAAGAGAGTCTTCATCTTTCATAAACAGCTTTTGGTGATTCCTAGAGATCTAAGCTCAGACTTGATCTTTGGAAGAGTGAACATCTTACATCGATAAGATATTCGCTTAAGATTCTCACTTCGATAAACGAAAAAGAATACCCAAAAGCCTTCGCGGTTCAATCAGAATCTTTGAATCGGTGGTCCACGAGCCAACGCACTCCCGGCACAGGCAAAGTCCCACAAAAGCAGAAATCGATAAACGATTTTTATGTTAATTCTAGAAAGTTGTAATTTTCTCATTTTTTTTCATTGTAATTCGTTGTAAGCGACCGAAGTTTTAATTCGTCTTGGACTTCGAATCAATCATCACTGCTTTTCGAGTCGGCACGGGGACGTCACAACAGGGAAGCTCGACATCTAAGTCAAAACTCGCCAACACAGCGAGGTTCGATATCAAAGACGAGGTTCACCAACAAAGCAATGTTTGACCTCAAAGACGAGGTTCACCAATACAATGAAGCTCGTCACTCACTTCAAATTGGGCTGTAACGGTCCCGAAGACCATGACAGCCACGTGGGCTAAGTGGTAGGCGTCGATTACGCCCACAACCGCATCAGCTATGCCCACGTTCTCATAACTTTATAGCATGTCAGTTACGTGCTAAACTCCTGTAAATAGCCTCGATCAGCTATTGGGGTAATTTAGTCTTTTTAGTATCACTTGATGAGAGGAGGATGCGGATCCTTACGCGCTCACTCTCTCCTTTTCATCCCGGGGCCAGGTCAGGCTACGCACTCCCATGTGTCCATCAAGAAGATAAAAAGGGGAAATGTTAAAAAGCCAGTGTTTGTGGTAGGCATGATTCTAGGCAGATTCTTGCACCATTTCCCTATAGATTTCTACTCAATTATAGGTTTTGCTTTTTTTTTCCCTTTTTTCAGAAGTAAAGCATGGCTGCCGTGCGTAATGATTGAGTTGGGTACAGGATGCTACACTTCAACAGTGTAACTTTTTACAACGGTACCCAAAGGGGAAGGCCTATGTGCTTCTTTGAGCCACTTATAAAAATGTGTATCATGCAGTAAAATTAACCGAACTATCCATTCAGTTTATCTTGATCAACATATTTTAAAAGGTCTACTAATAAAAGCTCATAGATACTCATAATATCAATTAGTTACATATATTAGTGATTTTCTAACAACACAACAAATAAAGAAATCCCTTGATACATGTATTAGAGTATTCCATTCTGTGATGATATAAATACTTTAAAACATATGTAAATAAAAAAATATTGATGTTATGATACTTTTGGCCCCTATTGTGTTTGTTATTTTAATTGTATTGTTGTAAATCCGTAAAATTTTATAACCACTTGGCGCGTGAATAACTAGAACTTAAAAACACAAATTTTTTTTTGTTTGTGTGCCATTCAAAGTATATAGATCAATATGACCTGAGCGGATCATTCAAATTCGTTGCATATGATATATATTTTTTTGAAATGGGCAAAACTAAACTAGTCATTGCCGGGGAGTATTAGAATGCCTGGCAGGAGATGCACGAGCATGTTTGTCAAAGATAACGTTTCCATCGCGCCGTTTTATCAAATCCGTTGTAGTCTAGTTGGTTAGGATACTCGGCTCTCACCCGAGAGACCCGGGTTCAAATCCCGGCAACGGAAGTTTCTATTTATTTTTAACCCCTGGGGTGGCAACTCTATGTGAAAATATAGAATTTTACTGCAGGTTTCAACATGTGAAAATAGAGAAAAAAAATAGAAAATTTTACTGCATATTTCACCATGTGAAAATAGATAATTTTACTGCATATCTCATCATACTCGAGCGCTCATGTGAAAATAGAGAATTTTAGTGTAGATTTCACCATGTGAAAATAGAGGAAAAAATAAAGAATTTTACTGCTAAGAATTTTAATACATATTTCAGCATATGAAAATAGAGAATTTTACTGCATATTCCATCATACTTGAGCGCGCATGTGAAAATAGAGAATTTTACTGCATATTTCATCATACTCGAGCCTATGTTTGTTCTAAGGAGGGATTAGTTAATACCAAAAAGGGAGGCTAAAGTAAACCCATCTCACCCCTATCTTTATAATACTGGTATTAACTAAGTAGGGGATTAAGATTTATAGGGGAAAAGAAATCTTAACCTTTAATTCCACCTCATCTTTATTCTGCAGTGTCTTTTTTCCGTAGGGGTGGCACTAGGGACACACCCCCAACCACATCCCAAACCACACCCCCTCTCTCATATGCTACAGTACACCGGGCCCCACATGAGATTTTAAAATTTTAAAATCCCATATGGAACCTGGTATACTGTTGCATATGAGAGAGGGGGTATGGTTTGGGATGTGGATGGGGGTGTGCCCCTATCATTTTCCTTTTCCGTAGCACCCCTCCGCTGCTTTCATTTCTTCTCCGAGAGTTTTTTTTTCTTCTCCTCACGAGCTTTCTTCTCGCGTTAGCCTTCGTGGGATCATCACGGCTTCTCAATCAATGCAAATTTCATGAATTTATACTTTGGCTTCAAGACCTCAACTGGGGTTTATGATGATGATATGTTAGTGAATCTTATATTATTTGCTCAAATTTTTTGCTCCAGTTCGCAGTGGGACTTTCGGTTTGGTTCCATAATTGCACTCCGCGATAAAATAAAATAAAAGATTAAAAAAATGGTGGTTCTTGGATTCTTGCGAGTCATTATAGCTTTAATTAGACTATGATAAATGGTATGCTAGTTAATCTCCTCTGAACGCAAGGGACTGGTACTTCCACAGAAGCATACGAACTCACTCGTACTTCCTAATTTTAGAAACTATCACGCAGTACGAAATTCAAAGCGAGAATGGTTAGCTACATGAAATTAGAAAGATAAAGCCCACACACGTAAGAAGAGTTTTGAAGCTTAAGAAATTAGCAGCCAGTAGAAAGTAAAAAAAAAGGAATTACAGTAATGAAAAAATTCATCAAAACTTATCGTGAATCACAATTCCAATCAAATCGGTTGTAGTAATGCAATTTTAATTGACTTGAGTGCAAAAAAGTAATTTTAGATATGATATTAGCCCGAATAGTCATAATCCCCCACAGGAAAAAAAAACACAAGCACGGACTATTTTAAGTTAGCCCGAATGTTAATCCGTATAAAAACAAACATTGGATTGGACTTAAATAGTCTCGGAATAATATAGTCCCCATATACGTTAAAGGGAATACAATAACCCCTAATTCGGGGATAAAAAACGAACATGGCCTTCGGCTTAATTTCAAATAGGTCCTTAGTATTACCCGAGCCTCCTGTTGTATTGGCCAAGTGCAAAACACGCCTCTTTAGTGAACTTTTTCGACTCTTTAAAGGAAAAGAAGAAGCAGCAAAACTAGTCTTACCAATAGAACTGTATGGGATTTACCCGCCTCCTCAAATAGTTTTAACAATTTCAAGAGTTAAAAAAATTCACTCTAGAGGTCTATTCGCAAAAATAGAACTACAAGGAGTTTATTAGCAATTGGGTGGTACTACATGAGGTCTGTCCTCAATTAACCTATATTTTTAATGTGTACAATATATAGCATTTAGCAACTCTAACTAAATTCAAACTATTTCATTTATATGTCACAGTTCCAAAGTTACCAGCCTAAGCTCAATCAAATTTCAGAAGATAGATTCCAAGTTACTCAGGAGAAGAGGGGGAGAATGAGCCTCCAGGAATAATAGAAATTCACAGTAGTCGTTTCCAGTACAAAATAATTTCACATCTGTATGCACATTTCAATATACAGAAACCTGTTCCAAAATGTAAATTATAACATTCGAATCATAAATAAACCAAAGACAGGAAACGAGGCTACATAAACATCAACAAGAACCAAACAACAGCAAGCATAGCCGAGGCTCTCAACGACGCTGCTGAATCCTCGACTAAGATCTCAATCTCAAACCGACAGATCCCCATTGACGGGTCCTTGTTCGTGACCGTCGCCAGATTATTGAACCCGCACGCCTGATTGTCCTGATCGTTCATCTGATAGTAACTGTTGAATGCATAAGATATGTTTCCTCGCGCATCAAGACCGCCACAAGATGTCTTATAGCCGAGGCTCGTACAGTCTGCATTCGCACACGCATAACTCACGCTCGGCGCCACCTTTGGATCGTCAAGATTCACTGAATTCTTCATAACACACCATTTCTTATCGAGATACTGAACCCCTTTTGCCCGAACCAAGCCAGTATTAGTTGTTCCGAGACTTAACTGATACTTTGGTTGTCCATCGTAGTAAAACAACCCCCAGTGCCTTTCGAAGTTACCAGGCTGTATGCTCTTCTGGTCCTCGTCGATCAAGCTAAACAAGTAGGCATTAATTGGTCCGGTCCTCATCGGTGTCCCCTGACCTGCCAATATATGCTTCAAGAATCCTTGGTTAAACTTCTGAGCATACTCGATGTTCGCATTCATGTCGCCGTCCGTCGGCCACCCGATCTCGCCGATGATGATGGGGAGGTTATCAAAGCCGTTCTTCTTGAGGGCCCACACAAGAGTGTCGTGGTTTGCGTCGAACATGTTGGTGTACGTTGCACTGTTGTCAGTTACCGGGGACGAGGTGCCGTCGAAGAAGGCATAGTCTACGGGGAAGCTCGGGTCGCTGTAGAGGCTGATGAAGGGGTAGATGTTGACCGTGAAGGGGGCGGCGTTGTCGCTGAGGAACTTGACGATGGTGAGCATAAGCGGGCGGATGTCAGAGCGGAAGTCACCATCGGAGGGCTTACCAGAGGGGGACTCATAGACGTCGGCGTTGAGGGGGCAGGTGACCTTTACTTGGTTGCCAAGGCCGGATTTGATCAGAGCGCTCTGGATGTTTTGGAGTCAAGATTCACTGAATTCTTCATAACACACCATTTCTTATCGAGATACTGAACCCCTTTTGCCCGAACCAAGCCAGTATTAGTTGTTCCGAGACTTAACTGATACTTTGGTTGTCCATCGTAGTAAAACAACCCCCAGTGCCTTTCGAAGTTACCAGGCTGTATGCTCTTCTGGTCCTCGTCGATCAAGCTAAACAAGTAGGCATTAATTGGTCCGGTCCTCATCGGTGTCCCCTGACCTGCCAATATATGCTTCAAGAATCCTTGGTTAAACTTCTGAGCATACTCGATGTTCGCATTCATGTCGCCGTCCGTCGGCCACCCGATCTCGCCGATGATGATGGGGAGGTTATCAAAGCCGTTCTTCTTGAGGGCCCACACAAGAGTGTCGTGGTTTGCGTCGAACATGTTGGTGTACGTTGCACTGTTGTCAGTTACCGGGGACGAGGTGCCGTCGAAGAAGGCATAGTCTACGGGGAAGCTCGGGTCGCTGTAGAGGCTGATGAAGGGGTAGATGTTGACCGTGAAGGGGGCGGCGTTGTCGCTGAGGAACTTGACGATGGTGAGCATAAGCGGGCGGATGTCAGAGCGGAAGTCACCATCGGAGGGCTTACCAGAGGGGGACTCATAGACGTCGGCGTTGAGGGGGCAGGTGACCTTTACTTGGTTGCCAAGGCCGGATTTGATCAGAGCGCTCTGGATGTTTTGGAGGGCGGGGAATGTGCTTTGGAGAAATGTACCATTGAATGAGCTTAAGAATGGCTCGTTACCGACTGCAACATATCTGTTGACATAGAGCAAAAGCGATTTTATATTCATACGATTACAAGGGAGACATTAAAATGCATAATAATTAAATCAGAATATGAAATAAAGACCCAAAAATAATGATAACAGCACAATATAAGCAGAATATGAATACCAATTACTAGCTGGGGTTAAATAAGTATTTATGCAAATAATTTCTGAAAACATTTATTCAAAAAATTGCACCCAGAAGGTGGAATTAACCTAAGTCTGGTTGGGACATGGCCTCCATCTTGTACATGATTCCTGCACCTTAATTCTTCTAGCCTGACAAAATCTAGATCTTCTTCAGCCCCTTCCCTACGCTTCAACTTCAAATTTTCAATCATTTAACAGTATGTTCTTCCACATATTCATCATCTAGCCGAATCTCAGTCATCTTGAGTATTGAGCTTATCGCCTACTTAACAGTTTAGTAAATTAAAATCAATATGTTCACTACAGTAGTAAAGTTCAGTTGAATTAGATGCTGCTCCTGAACCTGAGTGTTAATGTATAGACGTGTGAGTTATTGAACTGTAACACCGTGATAAATGAGTTCCTAGAAATTGTTGTTCCTGCGAAAGACATCTCGAACAAAAGTTTGCTGTGCTTCCTATTGAGTATAAGAGGTACCTCAAATTGCCATGCGTAAAAAATCAAGGAGAACAGTTAATGGCAACATGTCAATAATACCCCACAAAACACTCAAGACAAGCAGTGTGTTTAATAGGTTCAAACTTCAAAGATGAGGACAATTGAAAGTAGTACCTCATTCTGACTTGGTGAGATTACATCAGTATAAGATTCAAATACGTGATTCAGCATATACTGGTTGACATGCATTGCGGGAGTGTCGTAAGGAGGATGATGAAATGCAACACAAGGAATGGAAATTTAGGGTCAGAATATTTGCTTGAATGAAAATGGTAAAAGCACCTAAATCACCTGCTAGTCTGTCACTGAGCCATGAAAAAGGAGCAGCTTATTTGTGAGTAAGAAGTACTATGGGATTAAAAGATTATTGTTTAGTAACAAAAATATTGGATGAACTGAGTTCCAAGTAGCATGGCACTACATTGGTTCAATAAAAATAAATCATATACATGGATTTCTATCTTGATGATTATATATTGGTGATAATTTCAACTTGAAACTACTCATCTGAGCTATTAGACAATAAAAGTTGGCACAATCTTCTGACCCTTTCTGGGCATAAATTAGTCACCGGCTGATTTTAAGGACTCATAATTCAAGTATGTATGAACCTTTTTCAGACGGATTTTTGTCAGGAAGCTGCCATGAAGAGCTTGATGCACATCATAAAAAGTGTTGAAGGTGGTGTGGTGTACCCATTCAATTGGTGGTTCACCTAATTGAGATGTCAGAATATTTGCCTACTGTTCCTTTGGCTGCTCCCTAGGAGCCGTCTGCTAGGCTGAAAAGCGTCTTCGCCAAGACATTCCTCCAATGGAGGCTGAGGCAGGAGGAGCCTGCTTCCAACATCGTCCATAGACCGAAGGAGAGGGATGTTGGAATAAGTACCTCAAGCGGCAGCTGAGATGCTGAGGCGACATCATCCATCTGGACGAGTCGGCCCCAGAGAGAACCGGATCGGAGGCTACCCTAGGCGAGGGAGCCGAGGCTAAAGCTTCTGCTACGGAGGGAGAATCGTTTGGCCGATGTCGCGAGTTGACTCGTCGGGGGAAGGAGCCGGTCGAAGAGGAGATAGTGTGATGAGGACAACAATGACAAATTTCTATATTTGTTTATTTGACTTTTTTTATTTTAGTTTTGAATAAGGAAAATTTGGCAAGTTTGACAAGATCTTAATTTAGTTTTAATTGCGAGAGATTTGAGGGATTTTTCTATTTTGGTAAGGTTTTTATTGAGAGATTTGACTATATCTTTTTTCTGGTTTGTTTCCATTTTTATTGCACGTTGTGTGCACGTAGTTTTTCTTTATAAATAAGGTTGTATGAGGTCATTGAGAATCAATGAAGATTTGAATGCCTCGTCCTGACGCTCGCCCGCGTTCTCCAGTCCCTCTCGTCGGTTCCCAGCTCGACGTCGTCGCCTGCGTCATTGTCCAGTTCGACGCCACTGCTCTCGTCGCCCTCCTGCTCGACGCTATCGCCTACGTCATCGCCCAGTCGATGCCACCGCCCTCGATTTCTTCTTATCTCCACCCCATTTCTCCGCATTGACGAGCATCTGAGCCCGATAGGGAGTCATCGAACCCAGCAAAGCACATTTGCAGAGTAACAGCCCGTGGGTTAGTTGTTGTGATTTATTTTCCAAATTATTTTTTTGTTAATCTCATTTTATTAGTTAATTGCATGAGTATTCCATCTCTAAACTCTTATCATATATTCACTGTATAGATTATATTTGTGAGTTTAGAGTAATTGAGCATGTGACTGTTAAAATTTGATATTGATTGTAGAACTTATGTATGATAATGAATATTGCAACTAAATTGAGTGAGATTGGAATTGTTCTTAAGTATTTATGCAAATTTTATTAAATCCATCTGCCAAATTAGTTGTTTTGAATTTAATTCCTGCCAAAGATCATAAAATTTGGTAAAACGATGTTTTATTTGATTTAAATCGCTGATTCTGATAGACCTCTTGGCCCGTTTCACATCATTTTTAGTATCAGAGCATGGTTCTAGGTTAGGAAATTTTTATTTATTTTAGATTAGTTTAATTGAGTCTTTTATTTATTATTAAAAAACTATCATTCATCTCATTTAGTTGTTAGTGCATGCCCACTCGTATAGGTATACCCTACGATTAGGGGAGTCTAGTGAATCGTCTAATGAGTCCAACATGTCGGGCAGTACAAATCCTTAACTCCTTAAGAAATTCGATGAGCTAGCAGGACAACTAGGTGCCGTAGTCTAGGAATGCAGAGCTACCCGTGAGGCACTGACAGACTTCCAAAATGTGACAAACAAGAGGCTCGCTAGGCTTGAAGAAGCGCATATTGAAACTCCGCCGCCACAAGGTCAAGGGAATGGTCATCGGCACATCGTTCATCAGCCCCTACCTCAACCTGTGCATGATCCAGATGCTCAATACCTGAGGAGCATTAAGGTCGAAGCACCGACTGATGGTAAGCTCGACCCACAAACTTTCTTGGACTGGCTGAAGAACATGGGTCGCTATTTTAACTGGTACACCCTGACAAAACTACGAAAAGTCAAGTTTGCAGCAATGAAGCTTACCGCACCATCCTGCCAATATTGGTCCAGCCTCGAAATGTCAAGGCATATTAGAGGTGAATTACCAATTTTAACTTGGCGAGAAATGACTGGCGAACTAAAAAGAAAATGCGTCCCGTCATTGTTCTATCAGAGAATGCTAGACAAGTAGCATCGACTTACTCAGGGAACTAAATCTGCAAAAGAATACGTTGCTCAATTTGACGAATTATTTACTCGATGCAGCACTCTTGAGCAAGAGGCACCAATGAAAGTCTTATCAAAGTTTAGAGTTGGATTAAGAAGTGACCTCCAAACAGAACTCTTTTCTAGAAGAGTAGACATCCTTGAGAGAACCTACTCCTTAGTTCAAGATTTGGATGAGACTAAATCCTACTAATCTCGGAGTCAAGATTTTCAAACTCATTCCTCCCAATCCTCCCGTTCCACTACCTCTAGTCAACCTCAGAGTCGACCTAACTCTAGTTCTTCTCAGCCTAAAGTCGACACCAAGGGCAAGGAGTCAGATAGAGATTTCTCCAAACTTAGCCTAATAATTCAGTGTTACTGAAGAAATTGAGAAACCCTAATTTTATTAATGAGATAATGTGGGCTTATATAGGCCCCAATAAACACATCTTACAAATAACCCCCTTAACTATACTAATATGACAACACTCCTCCTCAAGATGGGCGAAAGATATCCACTAAGCCCATCTTGTCACATTCTTTAATCATATCTACTGAGCTAAGCCCCTTAGTCAGACAATCTGCTGTCTGGTCTTTAGTTAAAACATGACTTAACTCCAGTAATTCACTGTCCAACTTCTCTTTGATGAAGAACCTATCGATCTCGATGTGTTTGGTTCTATCATGCTACACTGGGTTATTGGCGATATTGATGGCTGACTTGTTATCACACCACAGCTTCATCTTTGCTCCTTGATCCAGCTTCAGCTCCACCAGCATACTCTTCAACCACAACAATTTCGTGACTCCTAAGGCCATAACTCTATACTCTGCTTCAGCTGTTAATCTCGCCACCACTGAATGCTTCTTGCTCTTCCACGAGACTAAGTTGCCTCCTGCAAAGATACAGTATCCTGAGGTGAACCTCCTGTCATCAGAACAGCTAGCCCAATCCGAGTCACAGTAACCCTCAATGCTCATATGTTCATTCCTGAATATCAGCCCTTTTCCGGGAGCACTCTTTAAATACCTAAGAATCTGGAACACTGCGTCCATATGACCCTTTCTCGGATCATGCATGTAGCGACTTACCACGCTCACTGCAAAAGAGATATCAGGACGTGTGTGACTCAAATAGATCAACCTGCCCACCAGTCTCTGGTATCTGTCACAATCAACTGGCTCTCCAACCTCAACACCCAGCTTGAACTTCTGATCAATCGGTGTAGTTACAGGTTTACACCCTAACATCCCTGTCTCTTTGAGAAGATCCAGTGCATACTTCCTCTGGGATAGGACAACCCCCTCCGCTCCTCGAGCTATCTCTATTCCAAGAAAGTATCGAAGCAAGCCAAGATCTTTCACCTCAAATTCCTTACCCAGTCTCACTTTGAGATGAACAATCTCCTTCTCATCATCCCTTGTAATAGTCATATCATCCACATATACCGCAAGCATGGTGATGTAACCTTCACTCCGTCGAAAAAATATTGTATGATCGACGTTAATCTGCTGGTACCCCATACCTAACATAGCCCTCCTGAATCTGTCGAACCAAGCACGGAGAGACCGCTTCAGCCCATAGAGAGACTTCTTCAATCTGCAGACTTTGCCCACTGTCTGATCTGTGTCGAATCCTGACGGAATTTTCATGTATACATCTTCCACCAGATCTCCATGAAGAAATGCATTCTTCACATCTAGTTGGTGTAGCTTCCATCCACCATTTACTGCTAGAGAGATCAAGATCCGAACAGTGCTCATCTTCACCACCGGTGCAAAAGTCTCATCATAGTCGATGTCATATGTCTGACTATACCCTTTTGCCACCAGACGAGCCTTGTAGCGCTTAACATGTCCATCTGGATTCTGCTTCACAGTGAAGACCCACTTGCACCCAACAGCTCTCTTCCCTTTTGGTAATTTTACTAACTCCCAAGTGCGGTTCTTCTTAAGAGCCCCTAGCTCTTCGTGCATAACAGCTTTTCATTTTGGATTCTTCTTTGCAACTTGCCAATTGTTAGGTACAGTAACAGAGTCCAATGATGCAATAGATGCTCCATGTGCAAGGTGGATGTTAAAATATGATACAAACTGGGTAAGATCCCAACCATATCTATCGGGAGGATTTCCCGCGTTACTGCGAGTAGTCCTCCGTACTGACATTGGTGTGGGAGGAGTAATGAGAGGAATGATATCACCTTTGAAGGAATCTAATGGTGGTGTAGGTGTCTCAGGAGTCGGGATAGACGTTGGCAAGGGACTTAGCACCAAGGGACATGGCACCAGTGGCACTGTAGGTACTGTACCTGCAATCTGCTGCTTCTTCCTACTATAGGTAAGTAGCTCCCCCTGAGCCGTGGGCCTAACTCCTCTTGTCTCCTCCTCTTCTTCTTCATTCTCTTGTTCCTCCTCAACCAATTCTTCTTCCCAAAGAATCGTCAGAGAAATCGATATCTCGGCATTATTCTCCACATTGTTCACCTGCCTCTCACCATTCTCCCCCTCTCGCCTCATACTTTTAGTATCGGACGAGTTACCAATGGATGAAATTACCTTCCGGGTGTAATATGGCTCAAGTTCTCAAAAGTGCACACTTATGCTCACAAACAGCCTCTTCTCCACCGGGCTCCAACAAACATATCTCTTCTGAGTAACTGAATATCCCACAAAGATGCACTTCACCGCTCTAGGAGCAAGCTTCCTGACGAATGGTCTGTTGTCCTTTACAAAGCACACACAACCAAATACCTTTAGTGGAAAAGCCCACCATTATCTCCCTTCAACGTCTCACACGGAGACTTCCAATCCAGTATTCTCGAGGGCATCATGTTGATCAGTGCCGTTGCGGTCAACACTGCTTGACCCCACAATGTTTCTGGGATATTCATGGAGATCATCATGCTACTAGCAACCTCTAAAAGATATCTGTTCTTCCTCTCCGCTATCCCATTCTGAGCTGGTGTGTATGGACATGTCGTCTGATGCTGTATTCTCTTCTCTGACAAGTATTCCCCAAGCGCTCTGTTGGTATATTCTGTCCCATTATCAGACCTCAATACCTTTACCATTGCTCCATATTGAGTCTGAACATATCTATGAAAGTTTTGGAAGCAACCAAACACTTCACTCTTATTTTTCATCAGATATAACCAAGTAACACGAGAGAAACAATCAATAAAGGTAACAAAATATTTGTATCCATTCATAGAACTTGTATAACCAAGTAACACGAGAGAAACAATCAATAAAGGTAACAAAATATTTGTATCCATTCATAGAACTTGTGGAACAAGGCTAAAGGTAACAAAATATTTGTATCCATTCATAGAACTTGTGGAACAAGGCCCCCAAACATCTGAATGTATCAGGTTAAAAGCACGAGAACTCTTATGACCAGAACAAACATAAGGGCTTCTAGTAAGCTTTCCAAACTCACATGCGTCGCATACAAGTTTCTGTTTATTTGCTTTTTCAAATAAGGATGGAAACAACCTACTTAAAACACTAAAGGATGAGTGTCCCAAACGCTGATGATAAAACATCAACACACTCTCAGCACTCATCTCAGACCCTACTCATGCTTTCTCTACCATCGAAACCAACGCTGAATCCAACCCTTCACGATCCAGGTACCACAGTTCGCTATGTCATGTGACAGTCCTAAGTCTCTGTCCTGTCCCATTCTCCTAGAAGATCACATTGGGAATGTCAAAAAAAACAATGCATTTTAGTTGGAGTATGATAGCACTAATGGACAAAAGATTAACTGAAAATGAAGGAGCATGTAAAACATTGAACAAAGTTATAGAACCTGTATAATTGACTGTACCCTTACCAACCACTAGCTAAAATGTGCCATCAGCTGTTTGGATATTATCAGCCGATGCTAAGTGAGTATATGAGAAGAACTCACTAGCATTACCTGTCACATGCCGAGACGTACCGGAGTCAACTATCCATTCTGATGATCTATCAGGAGATATAGAAGCAAGAGCATGTATTTCATCAGTATCTTTGATCGGATGAGCATAGGTAGCAGTGTTGCCTCTGGCGAAGAACGAAGTGGATACCTCCTCAATCTCACTCCTCCTATCTCCATCCCCTGCTACTTTCTGCTTTCTCCTGAGTATCTCCAGAAGTGCATGATCCTCCTCGGTAAATACCACCGCAGCTACTTCTTCTCCCTCTGCTACTATCAGATTTGCCCGATTGCCTGCTCCACTTCTGTCTCGTCGACCTCCACGGTCACGATCACGACCTCCGAACTGTCCACGTCCACCCGAGTCTCCTTCCTTGAGTGGCTTGGTGCAAGTATGCCTTAGATGACCCACTTCACCGCAATTATAGCAATGCCGAGTCTCCCCCTTGGTCCAGTATTGCTAGAGGCCGCAAGTGCTGACTTCACCACAGGAAGTCCACCTGTCCCCGCCTGCAGTCTAATACGAGTCTCCTCCTGGATCATGACCGAGACTGCCTCCTTAAATATGGGAATCTTTGGATGAGCTAACAATGCAGTCCGCTGAGCAAACTCTGATGTCAGCCCCTTGAGAAACACCATAGTCCTCTCTTGTAGAAAGGTCTCTCTCTTTACACTCCGGGTCCTTACAGCTCGCCCGAGGTGAGAAGTGATCATAATCTAGCCACAGGCGCTCCAGCTCTGTGACATACTCTTGTACAGTCCTCTCTCCCTAGACTATGACGTCGATCTCTCCCTTGATCTGGAACACTCTCAGGTTATTCCCCACTCCATCATAGGTCCTCCTCAACTTCTCCCAGACGTCCTTCACCTTCTCAATGTCATCCACTGTGACGGCGATCGACTGGACCAATGAGTTGAGGAGCCAGATGTACACCAACATATGAGTGGACTTCCACTCATCTCTTCCCTCCGAATCCTCATCCGGCTCTGTCTTCTCTCCTGTCAAGCAACCCTCCAGGTTCCTCCCTACAAGGGTGTATCGCACCCGTCGTGACCAGCTCAGGTAAGTAGCCGGTCCATCAAGCTTCAGATCGATGGTCGGAAGTTCCATCTTCTTTGATGGTCTTGCCGCGCTCTCACTAGCTGACAACTTCATCAACTTTATTAACTTCATTAAAGTTGATACCTTCGCGGGGTTCAACTTCTTGATGATCTCCTCCATCGATCAGCTTCAGATCCAAAAAACCCTTGTTGTGCGCAGTGAAAATTTTGACAACACTTATGCTGCACAACAAGGATAAGATCTCAACAAAATTCTCGTTTCTCAAAGGAAATAAAAATCGAAAGTGATATATCTCATCTTCTTGAGATATATACTCTTCCTCTCATCAGCTCTAGGACTGATATGTCGAGGGAATCCATGTCAAACTCTAGGTTCGACAAGGTGCACGGTCAGAGGGCGAGGTGGCAGCGGGGTTGAGTAGTTCGGATAGG